AAAGAAAAAGAAAAAAAAGAAAGAAATGAACACTTCCAGTCTCGTGTCTAAATGAGCATTGATAGAGCACTTCTGGTTCTAGTAATAACTAATAAACCAAAAGCATAGAAGTAACAATAACTCCTGAACTAGAAAAATACTCAGTCCACTATACTTTTCCCTTCTTACCTTCATCCTCATAGCTCTTCTTCTTTCTTCTTCTCTGAGCCAAATAGTATGCTACAAATATAGAAAGAAAGGTTACGGCTCCGACTGCAACTACAATCCCTACAATCAGGCCAGTCCTGTTCTTCTTCGTACTTGGAGGTCTGTTTCTAACGGTGGGAACGAAATCTGAGGAAAACCTTAGTGATCAGCACTGGCATCCATATATTAGGAACCAGAGTAGCACATTGTTGCCAGTTATCAAAATATTTCTGAATTCATATTTACCTGGGGTGGCACTTATTGCCGAAATCAAAGGTCCAAATGTACCTTGAGCAGGTACACAACAAGTCCCTTTTCCAGCCCAGAAGAGATGAATTTCAAGGTAGTTTTCAGACACTTTTACTAGAAATTCCTTCGCAACAGCTCTCAAAGAAGTCCCACCAGTCTCTCTTAGTATGTTAAAGTCTTTCAACTCCCGTTTCCCCTGGACCCCACAATGTCAAAATTATGTTCAATAATAAAAGGGAGAAACTTATACAAAGATACTTGAAGTTATAAGTTAACACTATAAATGTGGTGGATATATATAAGAACAATATGGAATGCCATGGTAGCTATTAATATATGAAGTTGAAGTGACTAAAAATTTTGGGAATTGAACATGTATATGTTCTTCAAATGAAATTGAAGCTAATATATCAAAAGTAGTGCTTGAAGACTCGGGAATGATGAAGCAAAAACACATACCATGGCATTGATATCAAATATCAAACAGCCCATCAATTACTACATGATGAAAGGTGACCTGAGGTCCTAGACAAAGATGAGGCTTGAAGAATGTGTAGCAAATACATGATTATCAATCACATATACACACCTACTATTTTTTCTTTTTCAATTTTATACTATCCTATCAATTGATGATATCAAACCATTGTTTAGCTGAAGCACAGTGAAAAATATGAATGCTAGTGTTAATACGAATTCATTTTTGAATACAGACCTGAATATAGACATCAAAAACACGCTTTCCAAGACTCTTCCAAGTTCTAGTGCCTAGGATTTCGATTTCTGCAAACTGAAGTCTCACGGTGTAATTACCATTCTCAAGACCCAAGCCGTAGTATCTCAAAGATCCAGCAGAAATTCGTGCAGTTTGAAACAACTCTGAATCCAAAGTATTCGTGAATTGGGATGAAGAGGAACTTTTATATTTTGGGTTGCTGCTATCAGAAGGCAGGCCAACATTGCTAACTGCCCACCTATTTGTATCGATCGTGTAATGTGTTGCCGGACCAAGAGTCTCATTATCCATCTCATACACAATCCGATCTGATGACTGAATTTGTGGACCGCCACATTTAATTGCAAAGCTGGAATCTACAAACCATCATCAGGGAAGAACTTGTCAATTCTCAAATGTAACTTCGCAAAAATGCTTGTTCTAATAATTTGTGTGTAAACAACTTTGTGAACAATATTTTGGGCCTGTTTTGCATACTTTTGAAGAAATATTTTCCTTAAAAAATACTGAGAAGTGCTTGTTCTAAGAAAATCAAATGGAACTTTTGAAATTAAGATGAGCAATTATGATTAAGGTGTTGTCAGGGCTTTTTGCTATAAAACAATTTGTCCTCGTTGCCGAGCAATAATTAATATCTATTTTATAAAACTAAGCCATGCACAAGTTGCCAATTTTATAATTTTATTAGATTTTTTCTACTTTTGTATTGTGAAATAAAATGCTCTNCAATTTTATAATTTTATTAGATGTTTTCTACTATTGTATTGTGAAATAAAATGCTCTAGCACCATACTCAACAATTGAATACCTTGACAACATTATTATGCCAATCAATATCTATACAACATATGGTCAAAATATCAATCTGAAACACACATGCACACACATAATAATGTGTTAAACTACCAACAATATCCTTTTAATGTGTCATGCTAAAATCTATGTGCATATAGAAATATAATAAAATCCAGTGTATCAAAACTGCCTACAGGTAAGACGCTCCTTGCGTCTTTCTACCTTAATCGGTGACAACTTCAACCACATTTATGCATTAAAATCTACGAACTCGTAATACGAAATTTACAAATAATTTCAATAATATTATTTTACAGTTTTCAAAAAAAAAAAAAAGCCACAGCATCAAATGTTAATTTTTCTAAAGATAAATTTAATAAATTAGCATGTTCAACAATGGCATATATTCAGACGCACATATAAACAACAAACAATATCTCGTAATTTTACTTTTAACTCAATATTTGGGTACTAGTGATGCTGTTGGTGATGAAGGAAGGTGTGAGGTGAATCCGTAGGGAGCAGGTGAAAGAAAGAAGTGTAAAGGTGTCAAAATACAATACGTAGAAAAACTTCACTAATTAGCCATAGTCAGGAATAGAACACTTGAGCAGAAGATATTGTGACGAATGGAAAAATAGAAAGTCGACTGTAGAAATGGAAAATACAGCTTTTGTTTAAGCAAAAAACAGGGAGAAAGCTAGCTTCTACTTATTTGCAGAAATGTAAAGCGGGCTGTTAATAGTTTCCATCCGGTACATAGGTTTTTCATATTGTATACAAAGTTCTGCTCCTCACAACTATGTTATATTCTTTGTTTATAGCATGTTTGACTAATTTAAAGCTCTATGAAATGAGTTTTTTTGTGCAGTAATGAACTCATGCTGCCCAAAAGAACTTCTTTTGAGGAGTTAGCCAAACATCTTATTAGTATTCACAATAGGAAAAGCAAGTTCCTTATTAGAATTTTCAGCCTATTGAAACCTTACCAAGTTCCACATTTGGAATAAAACTTATCACTTACAGGTAGGTGATCCTCGACTGCAAGGAAAATTCTGTTGCAGACAATGCAATCCTGAAGGCAGAGCACTAAAAAATGCAAGAGTGAGTGTAATTAGGGAAAGTGTCATCTTTGAGATAGAGAAGCATCAAGCATTAATTTTGAGAATAAATATATGTGAAACATGCATGCAAAGATTGTCATAAATACCTAAAGAAAGCACATAATAAAGGCATTAAAAAACACATAATAAAGACCGAATGATTTTACTATAATTTTGTGTGCTCCTTTTTGTATTAAGAACCATGGCAGCATAGACTTTCCTACATAATTTCTACAGGTTCGGTGGCCAAGAAAACTCATTTTGTCCTCAAATTATTTCTTTCTCCTATTTACTAATATAAAATTTTCCAAGTCATTAATGAATTGTTATATGATTATTAATTTTACAAGTACTGAGAATGTATGTGAAGCTGCTACCTGCTATGACATATGACATATTGACGATGAGAATACGAACCAATTATTCACGGTTGGACATACATCTGGAAGTGATTTGCCACTAACAATCATATCATGTAATCTTTCTGGGAAACCAGAAATGGTTACTGATAAGTTGCCATAACCAAAATTCCACATAAAGATGAAAGCAGCAGACATAACTTTAGCTATTGACTGATCCTTCCATTGTTTAGTTATGAAGAAAATCTATGTGGATAACTGATATAAACATTACAACAAAAATATATCTACATAAAGAAGCTCACAAAAGGTAAAGCCTAGGAAGTGAATCCATATGAGTTTTGTCACCGTAAATGCTTAAAATATTCACCTTCCATTAGAATTGTCTATGGTGAAGCGGTTGGCAACCAAATTACTGCATAACATATTCAAGTAAGATTTATATGTTAATGTTAGAAAAGGCAGTTTAAATAATGAGAATTGTCAAAAGAAACCAAAAGGCAGAACAATGAAAAGAAAATATAAAGAATATGTAGCATCCTTGTTTTCATTCATACATACAGTTGTAAATTTTGTTCACTGATCCATGTAGGGAAGCTCCCAAATAATGAATTGTATGATAAATCTCTGCAAGGAATATAGAAACGATTTTAGGCAGATATTCCATTTTACAAATGACTTTCTTTAGTCTCTGTTTGGTAGAAATTAAAATCCAGATTTTAATCTAAGTCAAAGTCAACAATTAACTTTAACCGCATTTTTCGAGGGATCCACAAATTTTTAACCACACATTTCATTAACTTTTGTCAAAATTTACTAAAATCTGATTTTAATCCCCACCAAATAGGGGCTTAATATGAAAATATATGTTGTTTTCAATTATTTTTTCTTTTTTGTTTGTGGCATCACATGCTGCCTGTACAAATACTAGTTAGGTTTACAAATGTAAAGCAGACTCCAGATATCTTCGAATGCAATCAAAGATATAGTATACTATTATAACTCTTTCGCGTGGGATTACACTGACGTTCATGTGAATAGGGTAGTCCCAACTTAAGACTTGTAATTAAGAAATTTTAATGTGTAAATTAAGAGTACACAAAATCGCGATAAGTTCAGAAAAAATATGCCTCCAATTAATAATGAGATTAAAAGGCATAGGATTGTGTCCCGACCTTGGAGATCTAATTATGTATATGAACAAACAAAAAATGCGAGTTGTAGGAGTTTTTATTGGAATCACATAAGATATGAACATATGAAGACCAATACTAACATGTTCTGGAGAGTTGGACCCTTTACTGCAGGCAGGGTACCATTCAAAGTATTATTACCAAGAAACCTGAAGATGAAAAAGAAAACCAAATTAGCGCACTATCTATCCCTCCCAATGCTGCTTTCTTCTCTTTCTTCAGGGTGGGGATTGTTGCAGTGAGGTCTCAATCGCAAGTATTGCATGATTTATTACAAGTGAGTGAGTGAACTCAGATTGAAAAGTGAATCTGGGATGCGTCCAGTCAAATTGTTGAAGCTCAAATCCCTGAAAAAGGAAGTTATAAAAGATTGCAGAGTTAAATTTACCATCAACCTCAGTGGAAGCTTATTATTGAAAGTCATACAACACAAGAAAACTTACAACAGTGTTAAATTCTGATAGTCACCAATATTGGAAGGTATGGAACCAGAAATGTTATTATTACGCAAAACTCTGTCAAAAAAGGAACAAGTTCATAAAAAACTTGCGAAAACAAAAGATAATTTATTGAAAGAAAGAACACATCAAATTAGTGCAGAATTATAACTTGAGTTATAATCCTTACAAGGTGCCAAGAGACTTCATATTTCTAAGGAAGTCCAGTGTAAAGCTTCCATTAGATAGATCACTTATTCTCCTGCTTGTTATATTTTAAAAATAATATTAGCTTTGGACAGCTAAGAGAAGAAATATTTTTGAAATAAAGGAAGAAAGAAATAGCCCAACACTCACAGATCATTCAAAGAGGTCAAATTGGAGAATGATGGTGGTATTGGCCCTTGAAAGGAGTTTCCTTGAAACCTCCTGCAAACATATCACATTATAGCTGATCACAAACTATACATGAATTTTGAATCTAGTGAAATTATTGGTTTAAAGATAGGCAGCACGTGACAGTTCTAGCAAGATAAATCATATT